AATATGCTATTGGATGAGTTAGTGCAAAATCATTTAGTGAGATTTCCCTGTCAGTCTCTGAAATGACATTTTTGTCCTGTGTTCTTAGTATCGAATGTAATCAAAAACTGTTTTCATATAACATGCAATGATGAATAAGTTATTGAGATCAGACCCTTGATCTGTATGCACCTTCTGTTTAAGAAGCAGCTTAAGCTATCAGTGTGTGCCAGTCTGTAGGAGATAATGATTGAATAAGAGGATTATTGCAATATGAGATAAAATGTCATTACTGCCTTAAAATTGCCCTCTTTCCACTACTGACCCAGGCTGCCTAATAACCAAATTCTGCTATTGGAGATTATTAAATATCCCAGTTGTGATTTCATATTTATTCCTGACATGATACAGTTTTTTTCCCTAAAAAAAAACGACTACTTTTTATTCTGGCAGCATGTGCCCTGTCTGCTGGTCTCCACTGGCAGTACATCTATCTGCACAAGATTTTTAGTTTAGTATAGCTTTCAGGTAGTGAAAACCCACACAGGAAGCTTGGTTGTAAAACTGTGTGGATCATTAGGGAAATTCCTAGAGTTTCTTCCCTATTTGGAAGGACTGGTAATGTGTTTCCACATGCTAAAATGGCAAGACATGAGCTTAGAGCAGCTATCACACCTGTAAGCTATTCAGGACAGGAAGCTTCCCCTTTCCTTTCACCCTTCTACAAGGGATCCTTCTTGTACTGTGTATAACTATAAACTGATTTAAAGTTAATATGCAAGAGAACATTTAATGAAATTCTTTGCATATATTTTCTCATAGCAGTATTGGCTGTTAGGAAGGTATTTGTGTGTTACATGTCAGAAACATGTAGGATTAAAAGGAAAGCAATTTTAAGTAATATTAACCAAGCTGAATGTAAAACCTCTGTCTTGTTCAGAAAATGTGTTTAGTAGGAATAGCAGAAAACTTCACTTTTGCTTGTGTTGATTGATTGCAATCACTTCATTCAGCCCTTACAGTGAGAATGTTGTAAAACACTCTGTGTGCCCATACTATACTGCATTTTTCTGACGTACATTTACACATGAACACATACTGCCCAGAAGGAAAAAAATAGTATAAATGAATCCTTGTCTTTATTGTTATCTAGTTGCATGCCAACAATATAAAGTACCAATTCTATACAGCTCATTTTCATGTACATCTAAAACAGTGAAGTTGTCTTCAGCAGCTCTAAGGTGTAAGCATCAAGTAACAGCCTTTATTTCCAGTATTCAGCCTTTCAAAGTTTTCCTAAAAATTTTTCTCTTTAGTTTCTTTACATTTTCTTTGTTAGGTTTTATTCAGCCACAGCACCCCAAGGCTTATTAATACTGAACCAGAAATGTTATGTTTCTGTTCCCATAGGCTGTCTTTTATGTGGCCAGAATTGTGACTTTATGCTTGAAGCCACTTTGGTGTTCCATACATTTTGAAGTCATTAATGACATAGGACCCTTTTATGATGGTTAATGTAAGGTGTAAGGCTCAACCAGTTATCTGTCTCCTAGTTGTTCACATGTACTGAGCAGGTTGTGATACAATTTACTTGATAGCAAAGGGCAGTGGGGAAAGGTGAACCTGTCTCCAATCTGAATTGAGTACAAAGGCACTTTTCCTCCTTCCTGTATTCATTCCACCCTATCCCACACACACCTGAGTATGGAGTCACAGACCTTATAGTTATGCTCTTGGAGGCATGACATCCTTTTCTTCAAGCTGTCTACAAGCAATTATAGTTTCCCAGTCTGGCAGCTGCTGAGTTTCTACTGTATTAGGCAAGACCAGTTGCCTTCCATGTATTCAGCCCAAATTAGTGTTGATTCCTTTCAAGACACATTTTTGGTTTACTACTGGGTTAAATATGACCAGAGGAGGCACATCCAGTTTTAATTTACCATAAATTCACAGAAGAGTCATGTGAGTTTTTCTCAAGGATGAAGAGCACTGAAATCGCTTGATTCACAGGGTAAAAAGATTTCAGAGTAGAATGTTCTTAATTGCTTTTAGAAAGGGGAAATTGAACTTTAAAATGTTCAAAAGGAAGCAAGGCTTTTAAGTGATTCTAAATCACTGGGGTACTTCACAAAAAAATTTCACTGTAACTTGAATTTTAATTGCCTGCCCCTTCCTCTAGCTGTCATGGTACTTTCATCCCCTCTGTTTTCCTGGAAGAAAGTGTTATTATTGCTGTTTATTTTAAGAAATCCACTGGAATTTGTCCTGCAGCACAGCAAGATTTCAGGGATGGATATGTTCTCATATTCTGTATTATGAATATTTTTTATACCTCTGTAATTAAAAAAATGAAGTTTTAATGACTGCTCTCCTATAAACCCTGGACTTCTGCATTTCTAGCCTAAGAAGCTGAGGATAGTCAGTGCCAGGTGCAGCCAGAATATTGCTGCAGCCCCACAACATATCATTTTTTTAACATTATTCAAATTAGTCTCTACACTCATAATTCTGTTGTTTCCTTTATTGCTGTTGTAAAGCAAATGGTTCTTTTATACAAATGTTATCTCCTGGCTATTAATTCAGCAGTTATTTTGGATTATGGCACTCCTGTTAAATTTAGGAATGTAAAACCTCATAAATATTTAGAAGTTTCAGACTGACATGGGAAGAAATTGGTTTTGACTTGCTTTGTTAATATCCAGTTGTTCAATTTGTAATAGATTTGGAATATATTGTTATTTCTCTACTGTTTGACAAATGGAAAAACAATTGTAATGGAGAAACTGCTTCAAGTGCTTTCCCTTGAATTGTAACAGGCTGGTAAAGGTGTTTGGTTCCAGTGAAAAATAGCAAGGAAAAGATCTGTTTTCCTTTAAGAGGCAAAAAAGGTGAAAAGTTCAATCAGAGCTGACTTCAAAGTTAATGAAAATGCAGCAGTAGGTTTGTAAAGATAGTATTGATGAAACAATTTCAAGAACGTCTACTCACAATCAAGTGCTTCTGTCTTAGCATCATTGTTAAACTTTTCACTAAGGAACTAACAAGTAAGATGGACAAATGTGTTTCTTCCCTCCAAGACGCTTTATAAAGAGTCTCTTTCTATGCAGTGAGTGTATTCCTAAACTACATATTAGTGTGCATCTAGAGTATCCTCCAAAGCTCTGAAGAGTAACTGAATGATAAAAAAGTCACAATTTTTGAAAGACTACTGAAGGTCTGGACAGTGCAGTGTCTGGATGAGCATTCCCTGCCCAGGGCAGGGGGTTGGGACTAGATGATCTGTAAGGTCCATTCTACCTGCTAAAATTCTATGATTCTATGGTTCCTGCTGCACACCTAACCATATTTGTTTTCTCTCTCTTTACCTCAGAAGTATATGCATAGTTTTTTCAGCCTTCTCTTAAAGGGTGTTAAAGTGTAACTCCTGTTGGGATCATCTAGAAGTATTTCAGATGTTTCAATAATCATTCAAAAAAGGATGCTGAATCTATTCAACCTGGATAAGTAATGCTAGCAGGCAATTAAGTGTGCAGTTAACAGAACTTACACCTCTGCCTGCATGCTCCAGAGGTTCTTCAGCTGTGTCCTGGGATGACACTTGATGGGTTTGTTGTATTTCCTATATCAGTTAAGTTCAGACATACTGCCATGACTTTTTGTGGTACTGCTGTGCTTTACTGGGTCAGTACCCAAAAAGACTTTTCTTCTAGCTAGGAAGTAAGTTAACACTGCAATGTTAATACTATTTTATGACAGGTATACATCTTCCCTAACAAGGTACAGCTAAAGCAGCTTAATATCTGCATAAAAATAATAATTTAGGTGACGCTTTCTCTTCAGCCACAGAGAGCTTTTTATATGCCAGCAAGTTTTTATAGTTAGGGTGCAGCATTTCAAAACACAAGCTTTCAAAAAGGAAACCATAAGGTGATCACATAGAGGCTGTAACTGTGAAGGTGAGCTTACAGTTGCATGAACTGACTGATATTTTATGCAGGTGAGCAGCTGGAAGTGCCACACCAGCTGAGGCCATATGATTTTAACTCATTCTGCTCATAACCCGTGGGCTAGATCCAGCCCCTTTGTGAGGCTTCTACCTGACCCATCACCTTCTCACTAAAGGAGACAGGGAACAGATGCTCCTTCAGCAAATGCATCCTCCTCCACCTGCCCTCTCTAGGGAGATGAGTGGCAAGTCCAGAGGGGCATAAGGAAGGGCAAAGCAGCCCATGAGGGTTGTCAGCACCTCTGCCTGGCTTATGCAGGTGCTGCCATGGGGCCAGGCACAACACATCTGTGTGCTCAATTGTATGCATTAGCCAGTCAGGCACACTCAGTCCTATGTTTTTGTGTGTATGAGAAGCTCATTCCTGTCTTACAAACACAAAAACAGTCCCTGTTACATAGACAATGCAAAATATAAGGCTTTTGCTGTTGTTATATTGACTTACTATATACTCAGCATGTTGAAAACTCTTTTATTTTTCTTTGAAAAGTACTTCTGCTAGACATTTCTTGTATTACTCTTCTTTTGGTTCTATGTCTGTGTAGTGAACAGTGTAAAGCAAAGGGCACTTGTATGCTTATGGTTGTAAAGACATTTGGATGAAGAAATTCTGCAGAGCAGTGTATATTTACTTTGCATTTCTAAATGGTAGCAATTAAAATTCCCAGCTGCTGGCTGTCCAGATGTTTCTTGTGTTACGGCATTGTAATTTGCATTGGAATATATTGTGTTACTGCAGTAGCTGTAAAACGGTCATCTCTCAGCCTAAATACTATATCTGGGCTCCAGTTGGGATGGTGAACAGATTTCCGGCTCATACCAGGTTCTTCTCCTTCCCACTGTTTCCACACTCTGTTAGCTTGACATGTTTGTGTTTCTCAGATGAAGACTTTTACTGCTCAGCATTCAAATCAAGCAGGGAATGTATTGGCAGATCAGAACTGATGCATGGATCGTTTCCTGTAAGACTGGCACAGAAAGTTTTGAATCAGAAGTTTCCTTTTGGCATTTTCAGGCAGCAAACATCCCTCTGGTGTCAGAGCTTGGCATCGACGATATCCATTTTGATGACTTCTCACTTGATGTGGATGCCATGATTACTGCAGCCCTGCGGATGTTCATGGAACTTGGAATGGTTCAGAAGTTTAAAATTGACTACGAGGTAACCATCTGCGCTGCAGATCTCTGCTCCTTTTGTCTTGGCACTGCTCTGGCCATTTATACACATTTAGCAGCCCTGATGCAGTTTGTCCTTTCCATTTCAGACACTGTGTAGGTGGCTTTTGACTGTTAGGAAGAATTACCGGATGGTTTTGTACCACAACTGGAGACATGCTTTCAACGTCTGCCAGCTCATGTTTGCCATGCTAACCGTGAGTATCGAGCTACAGGCACAGTCCTGTAACAGCTTTTACTGCCACGTTTGCCTTACCTGTCTAAACATTTTCCAGCATCCAATTTCTTTTTTAGTTATTATGCTACCCACTTCCAATGGCAAAGCACACAGAACTTATTCAACTTCAGGCAGCATATATTTGGCAAAAGCTTATGGTGTTTTAGTGACAGTGATATCATAGGCACATTAAAGTGACTGAAAACAGATGGCAGTCTTGGAGTGAGCTTGTTATTATAGATCTTGATCTTACAAAATATTTTTCTTTTGGAACTCTTTGATTTGACATTTATTTCAGACTCTTAAACTGGAAAGTACAAAACCAAGGAAAATTAGAATTCCAAAGTATTTATTATGCTGATATTTATTACCTCCTTATCCAGTTTCATCTAAATAGCTGGAGAAGGTATTGCCTGAAACATTTCGACATTATTTTCCAACATAGTGATCTAAGTGAATCTTGTGTCTCCAATGGTCACTGTTAACACTTAGGGGTTTTATTAATATGTATCTCCATCAATACTTGTAACTCCTTTCAGCATACAAGTAAATTCTATTGAAAGTGCCACTGCTATTATTTGCTCTCTCTCCCTACCCCACAGCTACCTCACTGCATGAAACAACCCATGCTTGGCTCGTCAATTCTTGTAAATGTATCAATAAAAAATTCAGTGATCCTGCGTGTTTAACATTCTGGTTAATATGGCAAAAGAGAAGCAACGTGTCTGTGCATACACAACACATTTTGCTGTACTTCACATTTAGGGTTTGCCTTATTTTCTGGCAAGAATTTCAGTTTTTCCATTTTTTCTTCATGCTCATCTTTAATGCCTAGAGTTCTCTATTGTGAATATTAACTTGGCCACATTTGTAGCATTTGTTGCAAGTATTTATTTATCTGGGATATCATGTGCTTGTTCCCTAATATTTAATCACTGAATGTCTATGTTCTCGTTGCCGACTGGTCTCCACAGTGCAGTGAGCACTTGGACTCTGTTTGTAGAGGTAGAGACTCCACAGTCTGTGCCATTTGCAGCACAGGTCCTGTTGGAGCAAGTCCAGAGGAAACCACGAAGTTGGTAAGAGAACTGGAGCATCTCCCCTTTGAAGACAGGCTGAGGAAGTTGGGACTGATCAGCCTGGAGAAGAGAAGGTTATGTGGAAACCTCACAGCAGCCTATCAGTATCTGAAGGGGCTCCAGGGGAGCCAGAGAGGGACTCTGTTAGGAACTGCAGTGATAGGTCAAGGAGTAACAAGTTCAAATTGAAGGAGGGGAAATTCAGGATAAATATTAGGAAAAAGTTTTTTCCTGTGAGAGTGGTGCAACACTGGAAGAGGCTGCCCAGGGAAGTAGTGGCTGCCCCAACCCTGGCAGTGTTCAAAGCCAGGCTGGATGATGCCTTGAGCAACCTGGTCTGGTGGGAGGTGTCCCTGCCCATGGCAGAGGGTTGGGACTAGATGATCTGTAATGTCCATTCCAACGCCTAAAATTCTATGGTTCTATGTGTCTATGAAGTTGTACCGTGCACCGGGAGCAAAGGAAAAGGAGTCGTACAACAAGAGAGAATGGTCACCTCTTCTTCTGAGCATGAGGTTGTTCAGCTGAGCAGAATTAGTGTTGCTTTAGCAGGCATTTTCTGGTGTTCTTTAATGAAATCTGGTGGTAACACATGGGCATCGGTCATTTTCAAAGGTTTATAAACTTGACATGCCTTTCCTTTTTCAACTTTAGAAAAATGAAAGGCTTTTTACTCTGCTGACAAGGGCAAAGGCAGGCAGCAGCGTTCGGTGTGAATGGCATGAATTTCTGCAGACGCTGCCGGGGTGAGGAGCTCCGAGCCGCACTAGGTGGAGCTCCGAGGCCAGGATTGCGCAGGCTGCGCCTCCCCTGGGAAACTGCTCTCCCCAGGCGTCCCCATCCACCCCGGCTGGCGGGACCCCATCGGCAGGCAGCAGGGGAAAAGCAGATCCACCAGCAGCCTGCCAGGCCTCTCCATAAGCTGCTTTGAGCATGGTTCTCCCAGCATAATTCCAGGATCCTTTTAGCAGTCAGCGCAGAGACGCAACTGTCTGTGGGTGTGATCCTGCATTTTTCAAGCCAAGCTCATTTCATTGCCCATGCTCCTGGTAATAAACTGAATGAGCAATTCCACGTGCAGGGCTGGGTGTGTGTGCTCACAGCACAGGATTTGCCATGCATCCCACTCTGCTTTGCTGTGGCTCTGGCTGAGATCAGAGCAAGTTCAGCTGTATGGTCTGTTTTGTCTCCTCTCCCTTCCAGAGATAGTAAGACTGATCTTGTAAAAAAAAAAAAAAAGACACAAAAGATAGTCAAGAGACTACTAACAGTGCAAGGCTTGCCCCTCCTGCATTTCTCTCAGGGATACCATCCAAGTTGGTATGTGCCTTCTTTTTTCACTGATTAAAAGGGGATGGTCAAGAAGGCAGTGCTTTGTGCAGTTACTGCACCTTATTTCTAATTTCTCTGTGGCAGTCAGCAATATAGACTGCACCACAAATATTAACCAATAGTCTATTTTAGGGCATTTTCAGGTAGGATTTATCATAACAGTAATGTCTAATCTGTAATACAGTAATGACCTGACCATACTCCCATCCAGGAAAATTCAGCTGGGTTGAACAACCCAAACAACAGAAATCCACAAAGAGTAAACCAGTTACTTCTCTCCTGGTGTGCTCATCCTTTTGCATATCTAAAGTATGTTCCTGAATATCTAAGTTTTCTGTCTCCTGAGCAATTACAACCCAGTTCTGTGAGCCATAGTTCTGTATTTCAGGTGCCCAAATATTCTGAAGATAAGCACTGCAGCAAGGCTGCTCCTGGAAGTTAAGGGTATCGTGTGAGAGTAAACCGCAGGATCAAGCACAGGCTTCATTATCAATCCCTTTGCCAACATAGTTCACTTCAACAGTTATTTCAAAGGGTAAAAATGAACAAGTAAGCAATACAAAATTAAAATCTCATCTGGTGTGCTAATAACAAAACATATAGATGTAGGGCAAGGTATAATGAATGCAATTCATTTCCTCACATGAAAGAATGACCTCCATAACTCACTGGAGACTCTGCCACTCATGAGTTATGGGTCATTCTTTTTCTGGTGAAAATAAATTTTACTGCACCATGGTCTCTAGCCATGTATTTTTTTCTCTCTGTGTAAATTCAGAAAATGGGGAAATGTAATCCTCTGTTTTCTTGCATTATGTTTAAAGAAGATATCCCCTTACTGTAACATTGTTTTAAATTAAATGTTTTTCACTCAGTGACATGCTATATTTCTTTCATATATTCAATGACAAGATTTTGGTTAAATAAAATGTGGCATTTATTTTTGAGATACTGCTGCCCTTAATAAATTCCTTAATCAGCTTTCCTGCATTTGTAATACAAGTTGAATCCCTGAGTTTAATCAAAGTGTGTGTTATGCTAAAGAATATTTATTACTACATCAATTTCAGATTATAAAACTTCTATTTTAAGTTGTTTTAACTTAGCCATGAATATTTTCTCTGGGTTGAAATTTGACAATGTGTCATGTTGTCAGTTACGAACCCATTTTTAATACCATTTTTAAAAATACGCTTTTATTATTACTTGCTAGACAGGACCAATGTTTAACAAAATAAAAAGAGAAAACACTATTTTTAGAAGATTTCCTCTATCTGGGTGGGTGTTACTGAACTTATAAATTAAAGCAATGTCACTAGATATCAGGAGAATCTCTTTCCTAGGATTTTCCTCATACTTGATCATCTTTTCTGATATGGAAACTTTAAGCAATTATGAAGCTTTTGTAGCAAGTCCTACACTTCCTCAGTTCCCACTGAAATGCATTCTTGAGCACCTGGGGGAATGTGGCTCCCTGTACTGCCTAAGTATTAACCATGGCCACATTTCAGGCTGTCAAAACAGAGCCTACTTGGGTTTGAATGTGCATTTCTTTAAGTAGAATTTGTGGTCCTCAGGGTGAATAGCAGAGTTTCACAGAGTATTGCAGCAACTGACTGGCATTTCTGAGTGAACTGTAAGTTCCTACCATAGAAGGGCATCAAGTCCCACTGTATCACTTAAACCATCTTCTTGCCAAAGGGTGAAATGATAATTATGCTCCATTGAAAATGAAGGGAATCTGGGATTCCTTACATGTGTTAGTGTTCAGCCTTGGTTTGGTCCTCCAATATGAATGTATTTTACATTTCTTTTATATAATTTCCTTTCATAATAACTCGATCATGTGTCTAATTGAGGCATGTCATTGGAGACTGGGACCATGAAAAGACAAGTGTTAGGATTTTCTGGGATGGAGATCAGTTATTTTTGCAGGCTATTTGACCTTCTGCTTCTGAAGAATTGAAGAAGCAGGTTGTTTCTGCCATGGGTAAGATGCACAGTACCAAAGAAATGACGTCCCACACAGGCTCTAGCACCTCCTCCAGACAGGATCTCTTCAAGATGCTTGAGGTTAACAACAGTAGTGTTTCTTCTCTGTTTTCAAAAGTCTCTCCCAAAATCAAGTGGGTATCTGCAGCAGAAATAAACCATTTGAGTAATTTCCTCTTCAAATCATGCTGCTTTGTTTCATTGTCCCAGATAAAACATCTCTTAATAGTTCATAACAGTTCCATAGAGCATATTTTATCTCAGTTCTTTTATAGGTCTTTTGATTTAACATCTCAGCTCTCTCTGACAGTAGGGATTGACTAAGGTGGTCATCTCAGGATTGAATAAATCTTTCTAAATACTTCTTTGAACACTAATTTCAAAATGTAATCAATTTAGCTATTTGGGTTTTTTTTTTCTCTGATCGGAAAATCCAGTTCCTGTCTTAGTATGCAGTTACTGGTGTTTGTTTTCAGCTCTTTTTTGCCTTTAGTGCCTTCTGGGTAGTGGAGAAATAGCATGCTGGAAATGCAACAAAGATAATAACAGATCACTCCAAGGACGTTATCTATTCTGCTAACCATCTAACACACAGCAGGGAATAGAATATGACAATAAAGCATTTATCTTCTCCTCACTGAAATGTTCATGGTATCAAAACAAAGTTGACTGTTGCTCGATGAACTAATCCCTTTTGCTACTGATAGTTACAGCTGCTATTTTTTTTCCCTCCCAGACTGCAGGATTTCAGGAGATTCTAAGTGAAATTGAAATTTTAGCTTTGATTGTGGGATGCTTATGTCACGACCTTGACCACAGGGGAACCAACAATGCCTTCCAAGCCAAGTAAGCTTTCTAATTCTTACTATTTTAATTTGGTTTTCTTCCATGGGAGAGCAAAAGGTGACCAGGATAAAGAATGAAGCATTAATTTCAGGCCTCCTAGGCCAAGGCCAAGTATTCTTATTCCTGTATTCAGTGAGGGACTATCCATCTTTATCATTCTCTGTTCCTTTAGGTAATTGCTGGCTTGTCCTTTGTAGCAGGCTGTTGAACTGACACCACATATTGAAATGTGGTGCCAAAACTGGATGTTCTTTTTCTGATTCAGGTATTACTGATTCTGGTAATACCAGGAAACACCTAAACTGTCTATCTAGGTTGTTCTTGCTGACTGGAATGCATGACTTTAAGCAAAACCTTGTTCCACTATTAAGAAGAAAATAAGTAAAACTGAAATAATTCTCCCACAAACACTTTCACACCAGTATAAACAAGTATACATAAAGTAATTCCTCCCTTATGAAGTATGAAGCCATTGCCATCATGCTGGAGCTCTGGTGCAGATCACCTGCAGCGGGTGGCTGGAGTAATTGCCTCACCCCATACCCATCAGTTGTGGAGCACACAGGGTCCCTGGGGTGTAAAAATGCCTCCTCCCTGCCCTACCCTGCATGCCAGAGCACACAGAGCCCATTTGCTGCCATGGGCAGGGGTGGGCTGGGCACCTCCTGCAGTGATTAGTACCCACCAGAACACAAAGGTGGATCTCAAAGGCAAATTCTTACATCACTGACATGAAATTTTACTTTCCAGACTGTTTTCAGTTCCGAAAATGAATTTTATTCTGTTCAAAGTTCTTATTACCTGATTTAGCAGACCTCACTTGTATGTATTTTTACTGTCCAGGCTGCTGCCCTCAGGTACAGTGAGGTAGAAGGAGGTTTGTGGAAGGTTTGAGGGTGCTACTTCTTACTGTGGTGGTAAGAGGGCTCCTTTGACCAAGGTCAAATTTTTTCCAAATTCTGTGTTCCCTGAAAACAGGAGGGACAGTAGAAAATGTCCTCTGGCAACATCCTGTCCAAGCTGTGAAATAAAGCTGTCAGACACAGAGACTGCTCCAAATCCCATGTTGTTTTCTTCATTACTCAGGTCCTCTACAGTCAGAATATGAGAACCTGAGTCTGTCTTGTCCTGCAGATCCCAGCCGGCATTTGCAGCTTTTTCTGTTCTGCATTACTGCTAATCCTCCAGTGTGATGGGGGAGTGGTAAAATGCTTGTCCAAAGATTTTTGAAAGACAGGGTGATGCTGTATTAGCCTATTTTGTCTTACCTTTTGTGTAAATACTCTGCTGCAATGCATGGGCTACTGCATTTCTGGGGGCAAGTTGCCTCCATGAGCATCACTCAAACTGATGTTTCTGAGGCTCACTAAGCTGCCATTTCCTAAAGTATTGGTGTTACTGTACAGTCTCAATGAAACAATGACACTGTCTGGATTTTCAATCACCATAGCAAGGAAAATCAATTGCAGTGCTCAAAAGACAGAGCTCGTGGTGCAAAGGTTACCAAGCACTGCTAGATGCCTTTTTTCGCAGCTGAGTCTTGAAGAGAATCAAAGTAGACTAGACAAATGGGAAGAAAGCTCAGCTGATTGATGTTTATATTCCTAATTTACAAAAAGGAGACCTAAGATTTACATCCTGGCCATTTTAGGCTCTGATTAAGTTAACCACTTCCCTGCTGTAACATTACACGACAGTATCTCTTGCACGGAGTTAAAGGTATAGGGTTTCAGCACTAGACTACTATCACTTATACTTCTTGTTTGACAACAGAGCACAAAGAGGAGGCTACCATTTTATGACTCCATAAAGAAAGTGCTGAAGACATTTAATGAAAGACAAACATTACCACACATGTATAAAACATCCCTGAAAACAGAAGCTGTAGTTTTCATAACAGCAGCTATGATTTATTCCTGTAACCTAACATAAATTGAAGCGTCACATTTTCCTATTTTATCTTCAGTGTTCAATACTGCTGCTCTGTATGATGAAAGTTCAAGAGGTATATGATGGAGGCAATATCACAGTTGTCTGAAATGGCTCTGTTATATATCTCAACACCATGTTCTCTAGGGACGATGTTTCCTGGACATCCTTCCCTCTAACATAGCTGCTTCTGATAATTAAATATCAGTATGGTGCAGTTTTATAGTATATGCTCCTAGGAGACTCCTTCTATCTCTAGCATAATTTCTTATTCTCATTTCTTTGGAAAGAAAACCCATCTTGTTGCATTAGGCTGAGTCCCAGAAGTGATGGTGAGCAGTGGCTGTTCTGACAATCCAATTCCATTCTCTGCTCCTCCCAGCAATTCCCAATTTTAGAATTGTGTTCTGTATTTTAAACTTAGAAAAACCACCTGCTCTGTGCATTTTGAATTTGATTTTGGTTTAGACAATGAACATGATAAGAAAATACATTCTAAAGGGATGTTAAACTTTTATATTCACTGCTCTCACTTGTAGCTTTCTGTTTACCGTAGTATTTTTTAGGTGCATAATTTTACAGACAGACAGAACCTCACTGCATTTGCAATTGGTTTTTTTGTTGTTGTGTTTTGGGGTTATATCTTCAGAGCCCATAATTGCCCATTGTAAGCCATTGTGTTTATGTCTATTAAGAATTAAAAGGTAGTAGTGGCACAGCCCATCCTAGCTCAAGGACATTACCATGTGCCTGTGCAGTTGCTGAGGCTGTTTGAAAGCAGAATTACAACATTTCTTGTAGTTCCAGGGAAATCTTTAGTCAGCTGACGATATTTAGCCAAGTCTGGAACATGAATACTCTGTATCTGGCTTTTAATTAGTGTTTTGATCTTGTCACCTGTCTTAAGTGTGGTTGCTGAAATGGAGATGGCTCCATGCTTTCGTTTCTAAATTGTCTCTGAAACCTGCTTTGTAAGCAGACAAGCAGTATTTGTTGACTCCCCATGTTCTGTTTCAGGAGTGGATCAGCCTTAGCTCAGCTCTACGGCACCTCTGCTACCTTGGAGCACCACCATTTCAATCATGCTGTCATGATTCTCCAAAGTGAGGTACAAAAACATTACTATTAATCTCACTGTAAGCTGTTGGGCAGTTTCAGCTGGAGAAAGGAAATACCACAGACAGTACATTTTTAATGCCCTCTCCTTGAGGAATTATTTATTGGTTATCACAAAGGTCACAACTAGCACAAAATTAAACAACTACAAATGCTGATCATGGAGCCCAGAGATTATATTTGTCTCAATCAGCAAGGGGCAGAGAGAACATATCCTAATCACTGAGCAGGATATATGTAAGAAGTCTGAGAAAAGCTCAGTGGTTTATAGGCAGGCAAAACAAGCTCTTACCTTTCCCCACAGGTGTCATATTCAGAGTATCACAGTCGTCCTTTACTGCACCAATTTAATTTCTTTGACAGTCTTTCTGTAATCAGTATTTTATGATAGTTTTTAATCCTTTTAATAAATTATTTTTTCAAATTCATATCAGTAATATCACACTTGTCCAAAGCACATTAATTGATTTGCAGAGACATATGAAGATACAGTTCTTGCCCAGAATATCTTGCATGTAACACTCTATAGCATGCACTACCCCAGAGACATAGGAAGTGAGAAAAGTAGAAGGATGGACATGCAGTCCTTACAAAACAATGGGTGTATGTTCTTAATTTACACAGATAGGTTGTTACAAAATGCATTCAGTAGATAAAAACCAAAATTGTTGTTCATGCTGATCTGCAGTAACTTCTGAAGAGCATCTGGGACTGTCCCGTGATCACAGACAAATGGGAACAGGGTGATGACTTTACCTCTGTGTACACTGCCACAGAGATCTGTCATGGGACTGTTGCTTTAGTGTTCAGTTTCTTGACATCATATTTTCAAAGTAAACATAGAAAAGGAGAGTACCATCATGAGATTTAAACAGCTCAATCTGTTTCGCCTAGCCTAGCTTATCCAAAAGGTGATACTAGGAATTAAATGGCTCCTTATACTAGAGAAAGGCATAAGAAACAGCAGCATTTGAATGTTAAACAGACTGGAATGTTAAACAGAGTAGGAAAAAGGAAAGGTTTTCTAGTTGTGGGTTTTCCCTAAACCAGTGAAACTGACACTGGATTTTGTTCCCTAAACCAGCCTCTGGATCAAGCTTTTCTGCCTCTTCCTTTTTTCTTGTTTCTCTTTTCCTTGTTTCTATTTTCCTTATTTCTTTTCAAGCTAGAGAGTTCTCTACTTCCTGAAATCTTAATCATACTTGAATGTCTCAGGCTCAAGACATGGACATCTCTGCAAAAGTTTATAGATCATGCAAGTCTATATGCTTTTCTTTATTTTTTCCAGCTTAACAAATCAAGATATTTATGAAAAAAACAATTCTTTGGAATCTACTCCAGCTTCTTTCAGAGATGTAAAATATTGCTTAAAATACAAGTCCTCCCCTTTGATCATTCAGGCAGCTGCTTCTCCCAGTCCTCATTTATAGACCAGAAAATTAATCCTACAGGATTTTTGCCCAATAGATACTCTTTTCTAATGGAACACAACACTACTAAGTTTGGAACAAATGCAGATTAGGATCCTCCAATCTACCTCAAGATACACTGTCTTTTGCCAGCTGAGCAGTTGGTCTCTCTCAAATAAACTGAAATATTCTAGTCTGTCTTTGCTATCTAGAAGGAAACACAGTATGTTGTATTATTTCTTCAGATTTTTATCATGTTGGACAAAGGAGCTATTTGTCCTTTACTCTTGACATGCTAACCTCAGTGTAAGTGATCTCGGGCCTTGCAGTGACATGGTTTTATACATCATGAAACAGGTCAGAAAGGCAATAGATACTAGAGAATACCAGACAACTTGGTAAATTACTCCTGTTTTCCTGATCCATTTTGCTTTATTTTCTTCTGAGTACTTTGGGTTTAAATGTGTTTTTTCATAAATAAGCTTTAGATTATCAAAGCCTTCTCAATATTTAGCTGAAAAGAAACAATTTTACACAGGGCAAATTGGTTTTTTAGTCCAGCAATGAGCTGCTCTATGAAAAAAATACCATCTCTACCTCCAGACCTTATTCCATATATGTCCTCATATCATCATGGTTATAGCAATCCTGTTGCTGGAAAATTCTTGGGTTTAAGGGCATTTTAATCTTCCTAAGCAGTAGATGGCAGTGCATACTGAATGTGGGCACTATAGGGCTAAATACCACCAAAATGAGACTCTGTTTAGCAAGAATTTATCTACTTCTATAGATGATTAGAAAAAAAAAAAGCCTTGTAATACTTTTATTTATGTTAATATAGTTATATGTGACTGTTGTCCCAAAGGCCACTTCTTAAGCTTACATTTAGAATTTTCCATTATTTTTTTTCTTTAAGCTTATTTTCTCTAGGATTTCACTGAGAAATTATGTCCCTCTTCAGAAACGCAGTGGTAAAAGGACCTTCCTGCTCTCAAGTAGCCATAGGAAATAACTTGTTTCCTTTCATTCTGGACATAGAGCACCTTTCAAATCCTTAATCCACAATCCATTACAAAGCAGCCAACTGTACCCACAAAAGGGTGTTTAAACTGCACATACAGTTGTGGTTCTTTAGCCTACATAGGCAATGCTTGTGTACACTGTAAGACAACACAGTAATGGGCAGAGTGAGCAAATGGGCTGTTTTGAATGAAAATCTGATTTAGTGTCCTTGACTGCTCTAACAGCAGTTTGTGTGCCTGCAAGCAGCAGCACAGATAAATCTATTAGGAGCACAACTCAAAAGCTCCAGTGCACAGCTCCCCAAAACATTTAATAAGAGGAAAGATTGAAATGTATCCATAGTTTTTGCCCATAAACTGAGCCTGTGCAGGGTCAGAGCAAAGAGTAAATCTTTACTCAAGAGGCTATAATTTCAGTAGAGTTTAGAAAAACATACCAGGTTCTTGATTGCAATATCAGCTCTTCCACCTCAATGTAATCTCAACAGTATTAACATTAACATTGTAGTTTTGCCATGAATCAGAAAAGGCCGCTCTTACAGGGAAACAGGAGACTAAAACATTAAAAAAACCTTTTAAAAACCTGTATTGATTGTTATCCCTTTACCTCTTTTATCTCTTTCATTATAGGGTCACAACATCTTTGCTAACTTGTCCTCTAAGGACTATAGTGACCTTATGCAGCTTCTAAAGCAATCAATATTGGCAACAGACCTCACTCTGTATTTTGAGTAAGTATTGGCATTTCTTGTATTTGACAAATGAAAATTCAGAGAACTTACTCTAATGACCTATTAAATACCAATAAGGTTATATAATATGAGAAATTAGTGTTTAGCTATGGTTGAAGAGTTTTAGTCTAATACTTAGTATATCTTCAGCTAATAGAAACATCTCAAGTGTACAAGTAAGTTTTGCTTCAATGTGTAACCTGTCTGTATCAACCAAAAGCAAGTGAAATCCTAGACTTACACTTCAAAGCAATCCCAGGAATCAGTTACAGCTCAGTCCCATAATTCTTCTGTCCCTTCTGTGATCATTTCTTCAGGCACGTAGAAAATCACTGGCATTCAAGAATCCTTTGCCACCATTTCAGTGTTTCCTAAACATGTATGCTAAGAAATATTGTATTCAGGTGCAGACCCAATTGCAGAGGTAACAAAAACATACACTTTGCTGCTTTGAAGACAAATTAGGCATCACATTATGACAACAGGTCTTAAAAACTTAGGATCTCTCTCATGCAGTTTTCTTCCTTTACCTTGTTTGCAAATCAAATCTCTAAGCAGATTTCAAGTTGATGCTACTTCATGTTTTTCAAATACTGTTAATTATTACCACTCTTCCCAGTGAGAATGTGTGGGAGGCTGCATGTAGTCAGAGGAGTCATGGTATCACTGTCACACTGCACTTTTCATATCCCCCTGTCTGGCACTTGCCTGTGACTGACTTACAGGGAGAAGTGCTGTCAGATGTGCAGTCTCACTGCACTACCTTCCCAGTCTTGATAATAATTCATGCTTAGGAATTTTTGTTTTATGTCCATTAGCATCCTGTCCCATACAGTGCTGGGTATCATTTAGTAATGTTTTTCTTAGGGTGGTATACCTGGATTCTTCCCCACCTATGTACTGATAGATGATACCAAACCAAGTCTTTACCCTGAAATTGTTCAACTATCTATCTCAACATTGTATCTTTAACTTTTAATTGTAAAAATACTAATTAGGAAGCTGCAATATTTGCTTTCCCTGGGGATGAAGTCCTGGAAGGCAGAGGGGCCCAAGACTGCTGGCTGATATTCAAGGATCAACTACTCCAAGCTCAGGACCAATGCATCCAGACACGGAGGAAATCGGGCAAAAATTCCAGGAGGCCTCCATGGATAAATAATGAAGTGCTGAGGAAACTCAAGGAAAACAAAGAGGTCTTTAGGAGGTGGAAGGGAGGACAAATGGACTGGGAAAAATACAGAGAAGCTGTAAAAGAAGCCAGAGACACAGACAGGAAAGCTAAGGCACAGTTGGAATTGAGGCTATCCAGGGACATTAAGGATAACAAGAAAGGCTTCTACAGGTATGCTGTGCGTAGAAGGAAGGCTAGGGATAATGTGGGCTCTCTCCAGAAGCAAATGGGACAACTGGCTACCCTGGATATAGAAAAGGTTGAGGTTCTTAATGACTTAGTCTTCAACTCCAAGTGCTCCAGCCTCCCTGACCAGACCAAAACGGGCAAAAGTGGAGACTGGGAGGATGTGCCAATGCAAACGTCATGAAGCTTAACAAAATGAAGTGCAAGGTCCTACTTCTGGGCCATAGCAATCCCAGGCACAGCTACAGGTTGGGTGGAGAAGGAATTGAAACCAGCAGTGAGGAGAAAGACTTGGGAGTGACAGTGGATGAGAAGCTCACCATGAGCCATCAATGTGTGCTAGCAGCCCAGAAAGCCAATTGAATCCTGGGCTGCATCCAAAGGAGTGTGGCCAGCAGGTCAAAAGAGGTGATTCTTCCCCTCTACTCTGCTCCTGTGAGACCCCGCCTGGAATACTGTGTGCAGTTCTGGTGTCCTCAAGATAAGAAGGACATGGAACTGTTGGAGCAAGTCCAGAGGAGAGGGATGAAGTTTATAAGAGGACTAGAGCACCTCCCCTATGAAGACAGGCTGAGGAAGTTGGGGCTGTTCAGCCTGGAGAAGACCTCATAGCAACTTTTCAGTATCTGAAGGGCCTACAAGGAAGCTATAGTGGGACTCTTTGTTAGGAACTGCAATGAGAGGACAAGGGGCAATGGATTCAAATTGAAGAAGGGGAAGTTTAGGTTAGATGTTAGAAAAAAGGTTTTTACTGTAAGGGTGATGAGACATTGGAACAGGTTGCCCAGGGACATGGTGGCTGCCCCAACCCTGGCAGTGTTCAAGACCAGGCTGGATGAGGCCTTGAGCAACCTGATCTAGTGAGGAGGTGTCCCTGCCCATGGCAGAGAGGGTTGAGACTAGATGATCTTTAAGGTCCATTCTAACCCTCAAATTCTATGATTCTATGATTCTATGATTCTTTGTCTGGTTTTCTCAGTACTTAGTTCCTCTGCCAAGGGCTATTTCTAAACAGACACACTGATACTCTGTTTCATCCAAGTCTGTTCTCAGGGAAGTATTCTTAAGAAAGGATTTTAGTGAGTGGCTTTATTATAAGTAAGTTCTAAACTTTAGTCTATGAAAAAAATTCTGCCTGCTGTAATGAATATCTTGAGCAGGACTGGTCATAGAACCATGACAGTCAGGGACCAGAATAATGCAACATGCTCCACATAATGTTCTGTCCATTGATCAAGGGCAATATTTCTGGAGGTGTGCATGTCCTTGTGTGCCAAACCTGTACTGGCTGCATTTGACTGTGGTTTCAATAATCAGTGTTCAAAGTTTCGGTCTAGTTGTGTAAATGTAGAAAATAGAAGACTTTGAAAACTCTTTCCTGTTGAGGAGTCCAACTACATTTCCACTTGACAGAGACACAGCACAGTCTCATATGAGATGGGTCACTGGACTGTCACTCAGAACATAGGTATTGACTCTCCAGCTTCGATGCTCATGTTGTGTCACTGTGGGCAAGTTTTTGTACCTCAACTTCTGCTATCTTGGGCAGGATCTATTACATACACCGATCTGACCATCTCATGTTTTGTCCATCTTTGAGGACACAAGGAAGGTTTTCCAGAAGACAAAGCATGGGACCAAGCAGAGAGACCTAGTTTCTAGTCAATAAGAACTATGAACTGGAGACAGCTGCAGCTCCTGCATCTCTCTGTTCTTTTTAGTGTGCTGGAAATAACAGGAATTGCACATCTCTGAAAAACCCTTCAGGACATAGAAGTAAAATCATTTTGCAAGGGCAAGTGAAAAAGAAGTGTGTGTATATTTCATGGGTGTTTCTATTGTCTGTCTGTCCACCGCTGTAGGTGAACATTTCATGCTTCCATGGAAGTCTGAACATTTCAGTGCCATTAATTTCCTTATCTGTGGTGACCATAAATACAATATTGCTTTTACTAGGAAACTCTGACATTGATAAGACATTTATAGAACATGTTCAGAAATTAGTGTGTTTCACTTAAATGGACTGTCAGTGTAAGGAATTTAACATTAGTACATGTGGTGCAGTAATTCCATATCATAGAGAGAGCTGTTTTTCTACTGCAGTGCTGCCCTGGAAATGTCTTGTTTCCTTCTCTGATAATCTATTTTGTTGCAGGAGAAGAACGGAATTTTTTGAACTCGTCAGTAAAGGCGGTTATGATTGGAACATAAAAACCCACCGAGAAATATTTCGGTGAGCAATACTATTTCTTGCCTTTTTGTTATTTGAAAGTGTAGCCATATTTGTTGAAGTAATTTCATATATTGTGGAGTGTAGGCTTAGAATAACAAGAGAAGGTAGCTATTTTTACAAACATGATATGAAATATTTGGTATGATTTCTAAACATTACCAAACAGTGGAGAATAATCAGTGTGACTTCACCTTCTCTATTCCTATTTCTGCCTTCACACCCTCATGTTTTCTTCCCTTTCTCCCAACCTCACCAGTTACTGTTCTGACCTTCCACTCTTTTTCCAGAGAGCACCACTATTCTGCCTCAGGACACATAGATCTTTCTTGTCCCTTTCCCTGTTCCCGCCTCCTCTCAGCTGTTTTCTTTCACTGGCCATGATTCTCTCTGCTCTTCCAGTCTGTACCTGGGAATCTGCATATACAGGGTACTCTTCTAGCCCTCAGGAATG